TACAACTCTGACTAATGCAGAAAAAAGAATTTTGTTTTTATTTTGAACATTGCAATTGTCCAAAAAGAAGTTTAAATGTATGTCCCTGCAATATTTTCTTATGAAATGAACATATGTGGTTGCTATGTTGTAAGCTTTCCTGCCGCTTTCGCCTTCATGCCACAGGATGCATACAGCATTTTTATTTTTACCAGGCGGCCCAAATAACTCGTTAAATAGAACAAGTTTTCTTGAAAAATAATAATCTTTTGTTCTAAGAAGTGGCATGCATATAGCTTTTTGCATGTCAACGGTGAACACATCTTCCTTTCCTTCCGAATTATAACTTCGATATTCTACTAAACTTAAATCTCTTCGTGAATTGCGTTTATTTTCTAAGTGCTGGCCTATCATTTTACACTCTTCACAGTTACAAGGAAGTGGTAGTATCTCATGAGCTATTTTATGATTTTTATATTTAGTGCATATATCTTGAGGTAATTCTGCTGTTGAGAGATTTAGAATAGAATAGAATAGAATAGAATATTTTTTATTCAATATACATTACATGTGTAATTCTTATTGAAAGTCATTTTTTACTTTACCATTCAATTTTTTTTATCATAGTATGAAAATGAGTCCAACCACAAATCGTCGTATTATTTTCTTGGCAATACCGTTTAAAATCCTTATATATAGTGGAAAAGTTTATACCTATAGGCAAATACTTTCGGTTCGGCGCATGGTTAATGTTGTAATGTGATGGAACAGGGTTGTATTTCATAATAAATTCTTCTAATCGTTTTTCATACTCCGGTGGAAACTTGTTAGATGGTGCATATCGACGTCCTCGAAGATCGGGTGTAGCGCTTATCTTCGGATTTTTATTACTCTCTAGATAGTTATTTTTCAAGACTGATTGCACAGCTTCATCGTTTGTATATCCCAAGGTCCTAAGAAAAAAAAACTTGCATACATTGACATCATTTAGGGACCATTTTAGTATGTTATGCCTTCGAGAATTACCTTTTGTTTTAGTGCATGCGGTAGATAGCTTATCAACACTTCTTGATATAAAGTCGCGGCGCCGTTGCCGGTCCAAGTTACAAAATTGTGTCCAAATAGACTGCCTTTCAGTCTCGGAAATCTTTTGAATGCACTGTTTTTTACATGAACAAGGTGTCAACAATGGATGTTTTAATCTTTGTGTCTCTAATATAGCTGCTGGGTCTCTATTGCGCTTAGGTTTCTTTGGTGTTTGACAGTTATCTTCGACGGCAAGTTTATCAATGGCGGTGGATTCTTCAAGGAAGCTACGTTTTTTTTTCTTATCAGCCGTTCTGTTTCAATATGTGCATTAGGAATTACAGGAGCTAAGGAAGTAGACGGCTTTGGCGAAACTAAAGGTGGTGAAGAATGTGCTAAACAAGGTGCTGGTTGCATTTCAGTCGATAATTCAGTAGATATTATGTTTTGTGTCACAGTCAAAAGATTCAAAGTATCGAAATCATCTTCATCTAAATTATTTATCGATCCAGTAGCAATGTGTTCTTGGTTCTTTATTGACTGGATTTTTGTTTTAGACGTAAGATCACAATATAAATTAGATTGAACGCTATTAACATGAATATGCGAACTTGTGGATTGGTGAAAATCTTCTATGGAAATATTTGAGACGTCTAAATTCTTATCACAAATTAATGCAGGTACCAGTTGGGCGTAAACTCTTTCTCCTAATTCTTCTGAAATGTATTCATTAAGTTGAGACTCAATTAATGGAATGATAGGACTTATAAAGTTTCTTGATCTTAAATCATCTTGAAGGTAATTTTCATACTCATTGTGATTATTGCGGTTTCTATTTTCTTTTTCTAGACAGTCACTTATCACATTGGACACAACAGTAACTGAGTCTGTGTTATTATAATGTTTAATATTTTGTTTTGACAGTCTAACTAGCATTTTACTTCGAGTCGTATTCATCGTTAAATTAATACAAAATCACGGTAATTAAATAAAATACGACAGGCGATCACAGGGTAGGTACACAATAAATAACATAATCACACGTAAATTGAACCGTCTTCAAACTTGCCGAGAAGGCGGGGGGCCTCTATAACGATGCGAAAGAGCGAGATAGCATTCATATTTATAGATCATATTACGCTGGCGGGACAATATCAACGTGCGAGTATACGCGTCAGTTTAAAACACTGTATCTCCAGCAGTGCGCGTAGTTTGTTACGGCAAAATACTGTAAGCTTTGTTACCGTTTTTCAGCATGGTTAAACCTTAATTTGAACGTTATACAGTGTTTTTTAGCTTGCTCTATCCTGCAAAATATACGTTTAAATGACAAAAATATTGGTCAGGGGTACTAAACAGACCTACAGAAACTGATTGGGCGTTGTTGAGCAAAAACACTGTAAGTCGACTTACAGTCTTTTGGATTGGCACGGCAGAGTAGTTAGCTAGTGTAGTTGAAGGATGTCAGATATTAAATTTTAATAAGGTTTTGCTGGACGTACTAGAATCCCATAAATTTGAAGCAGGTAACTTGTTATTATTTTTTAAATTTTGTCGATACCTAAGACTAAGAAGGTTCTAATGTGTCAATGAAATCAGTGAAAACAAGTAAGTACTATCAGGATTCCATAAGCATTCAGAAGTTACTAATGTCCTTAAAAACCTGTTTGCAACGAACACCTGATGTACATACAGTGTCAAATCTTTCACAACCAATATTAGCAAAAAGTACCAGAATCACATGAATTCGTAGAAGTCAAAATTCGTGGATACGTAAGGTTTGTACGCACACTTATGCACAGTCAAGACAAAATTTTACGCACACACGGATTGCATGCTCCGTATACTTCACTCAACACCCACTGTTTAGGCAACTTGCACTACCTTTTGATTATTTATGATCTCCTATTTTTTAAACTAGATTTATTTGCAAAAATTAGATTTAAAAAATATTTTGAAATAACACAGTAACGTAGTTTTAGACACGTCTACTCGCAACCGAGGTCCGGGGGGAAGAGGAAAAAAAGAGATCCACTACTGTGCGATTTATTAGGAGTTTTCTTCCTCGCACGACTACTCTGTGGAATCGTTTACCACCGGCGAATTTTCCAGATTGATACGCAATAACATTTTAGTCTTTGTTGATACGTTAAGGGCCTTAAAGAAACAAACTTACTCCTTTTTAAAAGACCGGCAACGCACTTGCAATTCTCATGTTGTTGCAGTAGTTCATGGGTGGAGGTCGACACTTACCACCAGGTGAGCCGCATCCTCGCTTTTTATAAAAGAGGGGGCATCTCTTCAATATAAAAAAAAGCCTGGACTTTCCAACAAATTACGTACATTGAAGAAACATGTACTACGTACGAGAACAGACACCGCGAATAAAATCTTTGCGGCAATACGGAACGCGTAAAAGGAGGCACAGAGTACCTTTTAAAAGGCAAACAATCAATACAACCAAAACAAGCAAATAGCTATATAGCATAACTCTACCACGTAGACTATACATCATTAGTATAGTTGTAGCTTGTAGCACGAGCAGGTGGGCTCAACCGAGGAAGGACGTCATAGAATACCAGCGTAAAATAGCTACTTAACTAGGCAACTATAGATTACGGGTTAGGAGGTTATGGACTTACGTTCTCATTGTATTTAAATAAAATCAAAGCACTACCAACAAGGTTGTTAAAGATACTAGTAGATAATAAACTGAAAATTGCAGACAAAAAAGTACAAATATAGTTGATAATGAAACAGTTTAATAAAAATGAGTTTGAAGAGAAAAGAGAATATGGCTACCCAACTCGTCAATTCACTAGAAAATGAAAATATGTAGCACTACTTAAAAATTAAAAAATGAGGTTATCCCGCAATTACATAACGAGCTGCCTCCGGTCTTTTTTTATAGAAGAGGGGGCAAACGAGCATACGGTTCACCTGATGGTAAGTGATTACCGCCGCCCATGAACAACTGCAACACCAGGAGAAATGCAGATTCGTTGCCGGCCTTTTAAATAGGAGTTAGCTCTTTTCTTGAAGGTTCCTAAGTCGTATCTGTGCGAAAAAATCTCAGGTGGTAGTCGAAGGGAAGTTGTGCGAGGGAGAAAATTTCTTTTAAGTCGTACAGTGGTTGACCGCCAGTCATCCAAATGGTATGGATGGTATCGCGAGTTTTGTTGCGATGTTGGTTTTGCTGGAATTAGTCCGAACAATTCTTCAGAGCACTCCCCGTGGTAGATGCGATAAATACGCAAAGAGATACAACATCTCTTAGCAGTGCCAGTGAGTCAAGCCGTTCGGAAAGAGTTCGGTCGCCGACGATTCGAACAGCTCTGCGCTGGATGCGATCGAATGGAAGGAGCTGACACTGGGGAGCCCTAGCCCAGAGATGGAAACAGTAATCCATGTGCTTGCCGAAGTTATCTGAACTGCCTCCGGACTTACTGACTTATTTGAAAAATCATTTAATAAATACTTTAAGAAAACATTAGCTATCATTGTACCCATAAAGGTACGCCACAGGCCACGTACAATTGTGTACAGTACTGTTGAAATTAGCAATCCATGTGCGATATATGCTATTTGAGTGTGTGTTGAATTAGTGTATATGCATGTATGTAATAATTCAAAAACTAATGAACCAATTTTAATATTTGGCTGATGTAGACCTCATATCAAGCATTGTACTAAATATTTATAAATAGAATAGTAAAATATATGTTGATATATGTATAAGAAGCATATAATATAAACATATAAGTCGAGAACTACTGCTAACAAACTGTATTACAATTTGGCAGAAAAAAATTTTTTTTTATTGTAAAACTGGGAGAAAATTAGACGCAGCAATTCGACGTATGTATATATATATATATATATATATATATATATATACATACGTCGAATTGCTGCCTATATATATATATATATATATATATATATAGGCAGTGACTTTACCTTCTTCTAACATATACTTCGCATTTTGATTTTAGAATGAATTGCCAAGAGGCAGTACAATTTGGCTATCACAAGACGGAAGCCATGCCGTGCATTTAGCTGCTGAGTCGGTAAGTACATCTGTTGGTGTTTTAAGATTTATTTTGCATGAAAACGGTCCCATACAAAATCAGGCAGCATTACTTATTAAAAAATAAAAACTTAAATTTTCATACAGTCCTACTCCCTGCGGTATGATGCCAAGAACTGGCTGGCTGCGTTTCCTCGCTAAATGTAAATAGCAATACTTAGCTTTAGAGCGAATAAAGATCAAGCCCGCTTATGTTACCAGCAACGACGAGATGTCGCACAATTTCTTTTAGGAACTTCACCGCACGTGGACGCCGCGGACCGATAGTCTCTACAACAAATCTCACAAATGCGTAGTCATCTCTTACAGGCACATTTTTGCGCCACTTACATAGTTCAGCTGCCTCTTCTGCCGCCCCGGCTCTAAACGACGTACCCCTGGGATGAGAGGCCGCCAATGTGTCTATGCATCTAGCATTCTACATGCCACTCTCCCAAGATAATAATAAGATATGTATCTTTATCATTTTACTGGGCTGTACCAGATGAGAGAACTATTTAAATACAGCGCGATAATAATAACAATAATTTATTAAACTTTAAACTTGTCCATACATAAAAAATCTTAACGGAAACGTTCTGTTCTCCTTGCTAGACTAAAAAATCTGTATTAAGCAGATTCAGTCCCTTAGCCCCCTTACAAAAAGAGAACAAAAAGAAAAAATTGCTCCTAACTTTTAAGTAGCCAGTAACCACTAAAAGGTAGCCAGCCCGCTCCCTTTATTAATTCCGGCAGTCAAGGGCTGACTCTCAGTCTTCCTTCGGCTGGTTCCTTAATCCGAAACTCCAATCACACCACGTTGGGTTCGGGCGGTCAAAGAGGTGGATGTGAACCCCGTGAAGGAGTATCACAAGAGAGCGTCTGCCGCCCCTTTCTGAAAAGGAAACGTCAGACGACAAAGATTACGGGTCCTCTTGAAGTGGTCCCGGTCTAGTCGTCCCTTTTGATTTTTGTGGACTGTATACTTAGGTGGTGGAAGATCCTTTAGGAATGAAACAGCATTTATCTTCAAAATTTCTCCATTAGCGTGCAATTAACTTTTAAGTACTTCGTGAGTGCGTGCGTGCGTGCGCGTGTACGTGCGTGTGCGTGTGTGCGAGTGTGTGCGTGCATGCGTGTGTGTGTTTTTATATACTAATATAATATAAATTAATTAGTCAGTTGTTGTTAATAAATACTGTAAGATACCAAAGTCATACCGTCGATTCTAATGCCATTGCATTTTGTTTTATTTTCATAAAATTGAAGTGACATACGAACTTACACTCCACCTTATGGTAAGTAGTTCCAGCAGTGTGCATGAACACCTGCAGCCAAGTTCAAATCAAGAAGGCTGCAAATACCTTGTCTTGGACTAAGATGAAATACGGCTGAGGGGTAAGATGTAATTATACTAGTAACTGGTACAGAAACAAAACACAACAGTGCACGCGATGCTATTTGTCGACTGATATATTTAAGAAGGTGGTTCCTAGCCAGATAGACTCTTATGGAGCTAATTTAAAATTAAAATTTTGTACAACCAACATCAATATAAATTATTAAGAATAACTCAAAAACTATTGGTCAAACCTTGATCAAGTTTATATGGGACCACATGTGAAGCACCAGCTTTCAAATAAAAAAAAGAATCATCGAAATCGGTTCACCCATTAAAAAGTTATGAGGTAACACATAAAAAAACATACAGTCGAATTGAGTACCGGCTTCTTTTTGAAGTCGGTAGAAAAGGAGTCGTACAAGCTACAACCTAAAAGCTGACAAAAATTATATATTTATTTAAAATCTTGATTGCATATAAAATGTACAGTTGGCGGAATTAATACCTCAAAACATCTCTATTAACAATCACTAGTTATGCAGAAATAACTGAGCAGGTATTTTGGTGTATTTTTGTTTTTTTTTTAACTTACACAGTCCACCTGATTTTAAATGGTTACTGCAGCCAATGAATACATGCAATCAACTTCAAACAAAGCCGGCTACAAATACGTTGTTACCTCTGAGGACTAAGATGGAATACCTCACAGTCTGCAATCATACTGACTCTCTATACCTATCGGTACAGAACACAGCAATGCAGGCTATTTGACAGCAGAAATAGATATATACTTATCTTTTTTTTCTTTTCTTATTTAAAAAACGTTACCTGCACGCTAGAATTTTCTCCTCTATCGTTGAGGCAGTTTACAAACATAAATTACACAAGGACAAACATCCAGACCCGGAACAATTATTTGTAAGCCATACAAATACTTGTTCCGTGCGGGATTCGAACCCGCAGCCCTCAGCGCTGGAACTCATTGCTAAGCCACGGAGCCGTCGTCACTTATACATGGTTATTTTGCAATAACCGGCCAAATTTGCAGAGAAGGTTCAGAATAAATAATATAGTCAAATGGTGAAAAAAATTAATTAAAAAAAATCTCAACCTTTGTGTCCTCTTTATCTTTTAAATTCAAAATGCGTGGTACTGCATTATTTTTACTGATTGTCATTCATAAATACCTAATGCCTTCTAATTTACTACGCACATATACGTACGTAAGGGTCGATAAGTCGGCAAAAACGTGAATTGAATCGCACACAGAGGAACGCGGGTACGTATAGTTGTTGCCCATAAATCACATTCAATTTGACGATAAAAGTAGAAGCCTTATTTAATTGTATTTTTAAAAACTGCATTCACGGTATATCATTATTATTTATATATTTAAAATTAAGTATAAAATTTGGCTACTCTTTGAAAAATAACCCTGTATAATTTGCCTATAATTCGTTATCTTTTTTCCAACACTTCATTTGTGTTAGAAATACGTTTCGACACTTTTCTACTGACTTCAAAAAGGAGGAGGTACTCAATTCAACTGTTTTTTTATGTGTACCTCATAACTTTGTTCTACGTGAACCGATTTCGATGATTTTATTTTATTTGAAATCTGGTGCTTCTGTTGTGGTCCCATATAAATTCTGGTGGATCAAGGTCTGATCAATAGTTTTTGAGTTATCCTTAATAATATATATTGAAGTCGGTTGAACAAAATTTTTAATTTTTAATCATTTTTCAAAAATACTTGTTTCTAGTATGTACACACAAGACAAAGGTAACATTTTTAGTTATTTAAATAACGGAGTCAATAACGGAGTCATTTTTTTTAACCATATAAGATATATTATAATCTTTTTCTTGCAGGATGGTGCAATGAACACGCTGTCCACGGTATCTCCTGTCGCGCTAATGAAATGTGTCAAGAATGAAGTCGAGCTCCGGGTAAACCTACTTTTTGTATCTTTTTGGAAGTAAAGAAATTATTTGGGGGGTGACTCGAACTTTAGGCCTAGTCAGCTTGAATAGCCTATCGTGTAGAGGATGTCATGGGGGTCATGGTTGAATATGGGCAAAAGTTCTATTTACACTCCTAGGGGGTTTAAAGGGGGCCAAAAACCAAAATATTTAAAATTCTTATTACGGCTGTAACTCCGCCTCCTTTGGAGGTCTTTACTTCCCGTATCCCACTTGTTAATTCACATATTGCTCTGATAATATGTGTTGTAATATAAGTCATAGAATTATATTGAAGAAAATGTATGATGACATTGAAAGTACACTATGTATAGCCGCCTAGTAATTAGTCAACGTACATACAGAGGGTTTAGTAATCGATAGTAATCGAGTACCGTAGAGTATACATCTTGCTTACGTATACCCTAAATAATAGTAGTTTTATATAATTGATCTGTACTCTAAGTAGAGAACTGATCAAATATATAAAAAGGATAAGCACCTAACCATTTTCGTAGATTTTTACCAAATTTATATTGATATAGAGAGTGGTTTCAATGGCCTTTGTCAGTGGTCTGTATTTTAATTGAATTATAAAATTATTTTATAACAATTGGTAAGTTTAAAAAATTTGTACAGCCTACATAAATATAAATATAGTACATGAGGGTATATTTATATATTTTTCATTAATTCATCACAATCTATTAAAAGTCCTCCCCAAAACCAGGTCTCCCTATAGATTGCCAAATTAAGGGGAATATTTGCCATACTTTCCACGCTTGGTAGATAAGTTGGCAGCGGCAGGTTTTTAATTATTTAAAGTTGTTATCAGGAAAGCTGTAACGCCGCCATTTTAATCATTAAATTAGACTCTAGTTTTTTTAAAACGTTACCTCCACACTAGGATTTTCTCCTGCATTCATCATCATCATAATTACAGCCTTTCATAAGTCCACTGCTGAACATAGGCCTCCCCCAAGGAATGCCACAAAGCACGGTCCTGAGCCACCTGCATCCATCGACTTCCTGCATGTCTTACCAGGTCGTCACTCCATCTCGTGGGGGGTTGCCCTACACTTCGCCTACCAGTACGAGGCTGCCACTCAAGAACCTTCCTTCCCCATCGGTTGTCGGTTCTTCGAGCTATATGGCCGGCCCACTGCCATTTCAGCTTACTAATCCGTTGGGCTATGTCGGTTACTCTGGTTCTACTGCGGATATCCTTCCTGGCTACGGGGGGCAGTTTACATACACAAATTTATCAAGGACAAACATCCAGACCGGGAACAGTTATTTGTAGAACATACAAATACTTGTTTCAACTCCCAAGCGCTGTAACTCACTGCCAAGCCACTGCACCACGGAGTCGTCACTTGTCTGTTTCACATTTTGATATTTACAAACATGCGACACGCGACTTCATTATTAATGAAAGAGTGGCAATGAGAAGTGCTGCTATTTTCTATCTCTTTCTTTTATCGACCAAGTGTTAAACGACAACCAGTATATGCTGATCTTGCATTAGTATGCAGTCACTAGTACCGGGAGGTCTATTTACACTGAACCCTTTTTTAAGGTCATTGGCATTATACGCGAAAAAATCGGAAACTGCGAAACTATGGTCGGTTCTCTTAGTTAAATAATAAATCTGTAACTATGGCATCAGTAACTAAGTACCTAATTATCTAGATCTGCCTATAAATAAATTACCTTTCGGTATCGTTAGGAAAAGTAAAGAATAAAAGTCGACATTCCTATTGTTATTTAAGCACCCGTATGCTATGCACTACAGTATCATGCATAGAGATGTTTAGTTTTATTTTTTATTGTGATTTTTAGAAAAAAAAATAACACTACTCTGGCATTTCCTCCTGTATCGTCGTGGAACATACATAAATTGCACAAGGAGAAACATCCAGACCCGGAACAATTATTTACAAGTCAATCAAATACTTGTTCCATGCAGGATTCGATCCCTCGGTTCTCAGTGTCACAACTCATTCCTAAACCACTGCGCCACGGATTCGCCTAATTCAGAAATCATATTCTGACCCAAATTTGAAGTGATATATCATTAAAACCCAGGGCTTCCGTTCCGCTCACATAAAAGATGGCATAGCCGTCGTGAGGTTCCTGCGGTGGGTCCACGAGAGGGTTGCAGCTGGGGAGAACGTGACCGAAATCAATGTATCCGACAAACTGGAAGAGCTGAGAGGGTGTGTATAAAAATCGATAGATATTTTTTATTTTATAGAATACACCCTTATTCTGAGCACAAACGAACACACAGTCCACCTGATGGTAAGTGGATGCTGTGACCCATAGACATCTATCATAGATGAAGAATCAAAATGAATATGCGTTGTTACCCTTGAGGACTAAGATTGAATGCTTCGTTTCCAGTGAAAAGGTATGTTCTCCGATTCTCTACACTCGCCATACGAAACGCAGCAGTATTAAGTTGCCATTTTACGCTGGTGAGGGCCTGGTCCTTCCCGGTCAGGTGGACCAATTAGTGCTGCAACCATAATATAGTTCAATCGTGGTTCTACCACATTATGTAGTTATACGTGCCTGTGCCGTGGGCGTCATCCACTGCTAGTGGCTGATGAAGGAGAAGAAAAGTCTTATACGTGGAAAAAAAAATTATACGTGGTAGAGCCATGCTACAGCTATACTACTAGTAGTATAGTTGTAGCACAAGTTGGTCGGCTCGACCGGGGAAGGACCACGCTGTCACAGAATACCAGCGTCAAATAGCAGCTTAACGCTGCTGTGTTTCGTATGCTGAGTGTAGAGAACCGGAGACCCTTTTACTGGAAACGAGGCATTCCATCTTAGTCCTCACGGGTGGCAACGCATCTGTATTTTGATTCGCAAACGAGGATAAATGTAGATGTCTATGGGCCACAGCAACCACCTACCATCAGGTGGACTGTGTACTCGTTTGTCACCCTATTCTATAAAAAAAGTCCTTAAGCTGTTGAAGTAAGTCGTTATAAGAGTTGCACATAATTATAATAATTACATTTTTAAAAGGAACGTTTATTACAGGGAAGAACAATATTTCATGGGGCCATCGTTTGCAACTATTGCTGGCGCCGGAGAAAATGGAGCCATCATCCATTATAAACCCTCGCGAGAAGGTGAACAAAGGGTGATCAAACCAGATGAAATGTTACTTGTTGACTCAGGAGCTCAATATATGTAAGATAAAAGTTCTATTAATTATTATATTTTTAACCACCGACGAAAAAGGGAGGTGTTATATGTTTAACGTGTGTATTTGTGTATCTGTGCGTTTGTCTATAGCATCGTAGCACCCAAACGGAAGAACCGATTTCGATATTTTTTTTTTTGAAAAGTGACTTGTTCGAGACTGTTCTTAGCTATGATTTAAGAAAATCTTTCCAGCCGTTTCAAAATCATCAGCTCTTTTTGTTGTTTTTTTTTTTTTAATTTGAGTTAATTACATACATTTTTCCTATGTTATTTTATATCTAGACTACTTTTATTGTGGATATTTTTATAAAAGTGAAGAAGAACTAACAATTCGCCTCATGGTAAGTGCAAACAACTTCAAACAAATAGGGTTTCAGATACGTTGGGGTGACAACTAAGGTGGGGACTAAGATGGAATGTCTCACAGCCTGTAATGAGAGCATCCACGACTTTTTCTGCCACCTGGGCGGCGCCACTTTACAGTGAGGTAAAATATTTGACAGATTTCATAGCGGGGATGATAATTTCTTAGGAAAATGTAATCTTTAAGGTTTATTTCTATATTATTAGTTATATTTTATATTAATAAAATAAAAATGAATAAACCAAACTATAAATATAACTAAAAGCCGATTTTTTTTAAAAAGAGTTATAAAGTGCAAAAAATTAAAAATCAAACCACTGACGCATTGTTTTGTGTATTAATAAAGTATTCTAGATAATGATAAACTATTATTTAAAACTAATTTCTCAATTAAGTGACATTGTATAACAAAAACCTTTACCTCAGTCACAACTAGCGACATCTGGTGAGTGGAAGATTATTAGCCCTCATTATACTATACATATTTAATTAATTGAACAAATTATTGAAATAAAATGAAAAAAAAAAATACTGGCTCCCTATACTTTTACTTATCATTCAGACCAATTATACGTGGTAAATCCAAGCTGCAGTTATATTATGGCTGTAGCACGAATGGGTCGGCACGACCGGGGTAGGACCACGTTCTCAGAGAATACCAGCGTGAAATAGCAGATTAATGCTGCTGTGTGTGTTTCGTTTGGTGAGTTTAGAGAACCAGAGACTCTTTTTACTGGAAACGAGGCATTCCATGTCAGTCCTCAGGGGTGACAACCCAGGTGGATTTTAATTCTTAATTGAGGATAAATGTAGATGTCTAAGGGCCAAAGCATCTGCTTGTCATCAGGTGATGGCAAGCTTATTTTATAATAAAAACACTGGAACAGCATTGCACACGTCATTTATTTGGCGACAGAAAGGTTACCACCCATACTCAGACGGACTCTTACTATTATTCGTTCATATTATACTCTGTACAACATAGCTTGATCTTTTTGACAGATGTCAAATTTGCGATCGACATAACTTTGCAATGATGAACATAATATTTTCTTATTTCAATAATTTTAAAAATTGTTAAAAATTTTAAAAATAGACACACAACACAAAAGTATTAAAAATTCAAGCATTTTCCGAAAATCTTACTGGTTTTTATTGCCTCAAAGTAAGATTTAAATTGAAAAATTGAAAACAATGGACGCTCGTGCAATGTTACATCGGTTGGTTTTTTTTTCATCGGTTGTCAGTTCTTCGAGTTATATGGCCGGCCCATTGCCACTTCAGCTTACTAATCCATTGGGCTATGTCGGTCACTCTGGTTCTACTGCGGATATCCTCATTTCTAAGTTTATCACGTAGAGAAACTCCGAGCACAGCCCTCTCCATAGCTCGCTGAGTGACCTTGAACTTCCTCATCCGGCCAGCAGTGAAGAAAGTCTCAGTTCTATAAGTCATCACTGGCAACTCGCTCTGGTTGTACAGTCTCGTTTTTAAGTTTTGAGGTATACCTGACGAGAAGATGTGCCGTAATTTCCAGATCGCTGCCGAGTTGAATCCGTTGATCCGATTGACCTCTCGGTCGAAGTTGGACTTACCTAGGTGGACTATTTATCCTAGGTAAACATACTCGTCAACAACTTCGAGATTAGTGCTCCCAACAACTACCAGCATAGGTGTGACATGGACATTAAACATGATCACGAGACATTTTTTCTATGTTCATCTTAAGACCTATCCGTTGGGAGACACTATTGAGGTCATCGAGCGTAGTGCTTAGGTCCTCCAGCGATTCTGCCATAAGAACTATATCATCGACAAATCGAAGGTGAGTGATGTACTCGCCATTGATGTTAATACCGTATCCTTTCCAGTTCAGAAGCTTGAAAACGTCTTCCAATGCAGCGGTGAAGAGTTTCGGGAATATGACGTCACCCAGTCTTACACCTCTCTGCAATTGGATAGGTTTCGTACTCTGGTTCTGTACTCGGATAGCCATCGAAGCCCTACTGTACAAGCACTTCAGCACTTCGATATACTCTATAGTCAACTTGGCACCGCTGAGAGGACTGCAGCACTGCCCAAATTTCGACGGAATCAAAGGCTTTCTCATAGTCCACATACGCCAGTCATAGTGGCACATTGTACCCCTCGGACTTCTGTACAATTTGCCGAAGGGTATGTATGTGGTCTATGGTGCTAAAGCCCTTTCGGAAACCGGCTTGTTCGGGAGGCTGGAAGTAGTCAATTCTACGCGCGAGACGATTCGTAATGACTCTCGAAAACAGCACGTGGACGCGGCTCAGAAGGGAAATCGGTCTGTAGTTCTTCAAGAGAGCGTTGTCGCCTTTTTTGAAGAACAAGACCACCGCACTTCTGCTCCTCGCCTCCGGTATAATGCCACCATGGAGGACGGAATTAAAGAGCTTCTGAAGGACTTCAAGTACCGGTTTTCCACCCGCTTTCAGAAGCTCCGCTGTAATTCCATCCTCGCCTGGGGCCTTGCCGTTTTTAAGGTGCTGGAGAGCCATTCTAATCTCGCTCAGACTGACGTCCGGGATATCATCGGAAAAGTGTCGGATAAGACTCGCTCTTGGATCGTTACTCACACTTGCGTGTGGCTCCAACGATGATGTGTACAGCTGCCCATAGACCCTCTCAATCTCACTCAAAATCTCAGGTGTCCCGGAAACAACGCTGCCACACTCGATCTTCAGCTTCGACACTGGGCTCTTTCTGGCAGATAGATCTCTAGGAAAGACTTTGGAGCCCTGGTTCCGCTCGATCGCTTCTTCAATACGAGCAGTGTTAAAGTTGCGTAAGTCCCGCCGTATCCATTTGGAGATCTGTCTATTCAGTTGCATGTATGCTGTCAAATCTACTGAAGACTGCAGCTTCATATCCCGTCTAACAGTCATGAGATTAAGAGTGTGATCGGAGAGTTTTTGTGTTCTTCTGCGGTGTGTCTTGCCAAAACTTAGCTCCGACCGCATGGACAGTTTCCACGAGCTTGTCATTCATATCGTCCACTGCATTGTAATCTTCTAGGCACTGAAAACGGTTTCGTAGCTCGAGCTGAAAGGTTTCGGGACTTTGAATTAGAGCACGAGGGGGACGGAGCGTTGACTTCATTAGACGTGACCACTCCAACTTAACGTTTAGGTTCAGTGTGCCTCTCACCATTCGGTGAATGCTGCCGGTTTTCACCCTCGCAATCACTGAGACATCACTGAACAGTTGTCGTCTGGTTGTCATAATGAAGTCAATCTCATTTTTTGTCGAACCGTCGGGGCTCGACCAGTTCCACTTCCTGTGAGGCCTCTTCTGGAAGAAAGAGTACATCATAAAGAGTCCCTCTTTCTGCATGAAGTCGGCCAGCTGCTGGCCCCTCGGGTTCCGTTGCCCTATTCCGAATTTCCCTACTTTCAGCTCACCGTTCTCTCTTATGCCTAGTTTAGCGTTAAAGTCTCCCATTAACACCGTATAGTGGGTTTTGGAGGAATGCATGGCTCTAGAGATTTCCTCATACATTTCCTCCACCTCCTCATCGGGGTGTGCCGAGGTTGGTACGTAAACCTGTATGACCTTCAACGAATACCGTTTGGTGATTCTGAGTATAAGGTACGCAACCCTCGTCGACACACACTTGTGGACGATAAATCCGACACCTCCTTGGGACAGATGGTCGCCCTTCCGGTGATAGAACAAATTGCAGGATTCGAGGATTACCGTGTCCTCCCCCTCTCTTCGGACCTCGGATAGCCCTATAATATTCCAGCGCAACTTGTATATCTCTTCTTCCAGCTCCAGGATCTTCTCGTCAGTCCTCAGGGTGCGTGCGTTATAAGTTGCCAGGTTGAGTCGTCGTAGGTGGCAACCGAACATCCACCGGAGATTCTTAGCACCCCCTGCCCATGCGTTACCATGGTCGCCACCGTAGCCAGGAATAGCGGGGCCGCTGGGGACTGGGGGCCATCTCTTAGGAACTTTATTCATTTGGGGGATATATTGCCATAGTTGCCACGCTTGGCAAGCGGGTTGGCAATCGCAGTTTTTTTATTGTGATATTGCTGTTATCAGGAAGATGCTGCTGCCCATCTCCTGACCGTTTCCCACTGTCACATTTTGCGACACCCACGGGAAGATATGGGGTAGTGGATATTCTTAACCGCCACTACACGGCATCGGTTACATTATCGGTTACAAAGAAGCTAATTAATTAAAATAATTTTTATCGATTTAGCAACAACGACTCCGACGATGAAAATCTTGATTGTGCTTCTCTTCCCGATTAAAAACTATGTTTTAAAGAGAAAATTTTATTTTATTTTTCAACCTTGATTTTAACTCAATATTATATGAATAATATAACCCATCGTCGCTTACCTACCCAATGTTTTTATATGTCTAGTACAATAAAGTTGATTGATGAATGAATGAATTTATTTTGAATAGTTTAAAACATACATACAGCCACACCATTTCATCACTGTTACAAGTACCTATATAAAAACGTTATTTTTTGCAATACAAAAATATTTCTGATATTTTCTGTTTCCCATCACTAGACCCATCTGTCAAATAGGTCAAGCTATGTTGTACAAGGTATAGGCAAAATCTTATTGTTGCTTGGAGTCTTCCACGGTATAGTGAAAAGATAAAGGCATGTAGCCCAGGTGAAATGTATTATACATTATACACAGTTCAGGATACAGTACTCTATAATTTCATCGCGCGAACCGATAGTGTCTACAGCAAATATCTCAAATTAGATGTGCTCCGCGGTTTCACCCGCGTATATTAGGCGTCTGAGCCGCGCGACCTGACATGACACCTCGCTAATTTAGTTCAATCATTTTAGCTAAAAAATTGACAATGGAGTACTTTCATATATCGGCATATGTACGACAATTTTAGTAACTACACACTTTTCATATACAGTATACAGTTATAAAGAGTACACAACTCTTTAAAACTGGAAAATAACACTTTTCAGGACACTTTCTGGGGCGCGGGAACCTTGCTCTATAACGTACACATGCCCATAGATAAAATTACTGCATTAATTTTGCCAATTTTGTAGCTAAAAAGGTTAAACTATATGAGCGAGGTATTAGACACGCTCAGACACGCAATTTTACATTATTTCTTATACTAGGCGTCCAAAAAACATGTAATAAGAAGCAAAGTTTACCTTCATAAAATGTCTTGATGATGAAGTAACCTTCGTTCGTAAGGTTTACTATGCTAATAATAACACTCATAAATCACTTTTTAATTTATTATTAACAATAATTTTTATCACAAAATCATTATACCTTATTGTGGCTTATTTATAAGAAGTAGGCATAAGTAGGCAGGAAGTAGGTATCTCAGACTTTTTTAGATGAAGTAAAGATCTACATTTTTGTAGAACATTGCATTTCCGTATCACTAACCATTACGCCAGCGCACGCAGATAAATCAATTCGGGAGCGCTTTTTCTTCTGACTTGCTTAACAAAAATCAATATTTAAGGCTAGCAACGAGGTGTAACCTAATGCTAGATAGCCTATACTATTCCTCTTGAATCTAGCTATAATATACAAAAATAATTTTTCAAATCGGACTGGTAGTTCCAGAGATTAGCATATATATACAAACAAAGAAACAAGACATTCTTCCGCGTTATTATATTAGTATACTCATTTTTGCACCATTAAGGCTCTAAGTTTGCACGTTACGCAATTTAACCTATCATCTGCTCCGATAAAAAGGAAATTAATATATTAACTTTGGCAACTTAATACATTTATGAAAATGTAATGTACGTACACAAAAATAAAAGTAGTTTTACAAAAATATTACATTTTATATTAAAAAATATAATTAAAAAAAAAAACTAAAACTAGTAAGTTTCTTTTTATAGGATAGGGTGACAAACGATGGTAAGTGGTTACTGTGGCCCATAGACATCTAAGTACATCTATCTTCGTTTGCGAATCAAAATGCAGATGCGTTGTCAACCGTGAGGGCTAAGCTGGAATGCCTCTTTTCCAGTAAAAAGAGTCTCCGGTTCTCTACACTCACCATACGAAACACAGCAGTGTTAAGCTGCTATTTTACGCTGGTATTCTGTGAGAGCGTGGTCCTTCCCCGGTCGAGCCGACCCATTCGTGCTACAGCTATACTACTAATATAGCGTCAGCATGGCTCTACCACGTACAAGAACTAAATTATCATGCAGTCCTACTCCCTGCGGTATCGTGCCAAGAACGCTGGCTGCGTTTCCGCGCTGAATGGCTATAGTTAGCCTTTGAGCGAGAAAAGAACCAGCCCTCTTATCACCAGCAGCAACGCCCAGCCGCGGATGGAGTTCCTTTAGAAACTTCACCGCACGTGGACCCCACGGACCGATAGTCTCTACAGCAAATGGCACAATTATGTAGTCATCTCTCAGATATTCGTATTTGCACCACTTACTCAGTTCAGCTGCCTCTGATGCCGCCCCGGTTCTAAACGAAGTGATGATGAATATCACTTATTTACAAAATAAGTGATAAGAGGTTTTGCGATTAGACTGAATCCCTTGAGGACCTTAACACTATGTTCAATGTGTCTATCAACCAATAGTGTCTATCAACGGATAGGTCTCCAGATGAACGTGGACAAGACAAAAGTCACGTGTAACATCCATGTCATACCTATGCCGGCAGTTCTTTTTTGGCAAACTTACAGAGGTGACAACGCATTTTTAACCATCTTGGTTTGATGTTGGTTCCAAGTGTACATAGACTGCAGTCGTTACTTACTATTCGATGGACTGTAGGTTCACTTCGGTCAAAAAAGAGATTAAAAAAAGGGTTAAATTTAATTAACTAAAACAAATCTAAAACAGGGACGGTACAACAGACATTACCAGAACTCGACACATGAGTTCATCGCCCACCCCGGAGCAGCGACGTGCCTTCACAAGAGTGCTGAAAGGACAAATGCTGTTAGGGACCGCCGTGTTCCCGAAAGGCTCTACGGTAAGACACTAAAATTCAAGAAGAGAATAGAATAATTTTTATTCAATACTAGTGATCCGCCCCGACTTCCCACGTGATTTCGGGAGCTCGGCAACAGCGCCAAATACTGGGTTTAATTGTGAATCTAAATCATGCAGGGATCGACCCAAACACACACAAAAACAATCATGAAAATCGGTCGAACCAGTTTGGAGTTTAGCGAGATCAACGGACAGCTATTTATTTTTATATATAGGAATAGATTACATAAATATTTAATGAAAGTCACTGGTTGGAAAAAAGCCTATGGCCTGGGAAGAACCCGCAAGAAACACAGCGGAACTTTTTTTTTAAATTAAATAATTAATTTAAAAAAAATCAAGGATTGTACAATAATAACTAGGTCGTGATGGCTCATGGAATAAGCACTCGCTCGCTGTATTATCAAAACCCTGCTGAACATAGATCTATACCGTTGTAGAGTGTACAAATCGCGTCATGTAAGTCTAGCGCTGAACGAAACGTGGAGAGGACGCGCACGAATTGAATTACACGAATGCGACTGGAGAGCCAATCAGCGCGTGCGAACGATACGCACGAACCAATCAGCGCGACTTTAGCGCAATAAGCCAATCAGCGCGACTTATGCCCAATAACGGTCACCGCTAGACTTTCGTGCCGCTACGCGACGATAATGCCTTAATCGTCACGCTTGATGGGCAGATTGACAATCGCAGTACGAAATGTGAATACCTTTAAGGCTGTTAGTTGCCAGTTCTGTTATTTTACGCCTGGTGTAAACGACATGGTAATTTTTTTATAGAATAAGGGTAACAAACGAGCACGCAGTCCACTTGATGATAAGTGGTTGCTGTGGCCCATAGACATCTAAACCTATCTTCGTTTGCGAATTAAAATGCAGATGCGTTGTCAGCCGTGAGGATTAAGATGGAATGCCTCTTTTCCAGTAAAATGGGTCTCCGGTTCTTTACACTCACCATACGAAACAAAGCAGCATTAAGCTGCTATTTTACGCTGGTATTTTGTGAAAGCGCCTTCCCCCGGTCTAGCGGACCCATTCGTACTACAACATACTGCAGCGTGTCTCAATCATTGGTAACAATATTAAAATAAATAAAACATAGAATTATGCCACTCGTGATACTCTGCATTCGTCTAATTCTCTCGAAGTTTTCTGCAGGTTTCTCTTCTACCACGTGTGATTATTGTGTGATTACACACATGTTTTTTTTTTTTTTACTTTGACTATATTTTCATAATTTTGAATGGCTACAGGGTAACTTATTGGAGACATTAGCTCGTAAGGCTCTTTGGGACGTCGGGCTCAACTATGCTCACGGAACAGGACACGGCGTGGGGCACTTCCTCAATGTTCACGAAGGACCGTCGGGTATCGGGGCAGCTCTGATGGCGTCAGATCCTGGTATAGTGCCAGGAATGATATTCAGTAATGGTAAGTACAAGTCAGCAAATCAAGTAAGCAATAAGACTATCACCAGCTATTTTTCTGGACCGACGTGACTTAGGAACCTTCAAGAAAAGAGCCTACTCTTTTTAAAAGACCGGCAACGCATCTCCGATCCCCCTGGTGTTGCAGTTTGCCCTATATTCTATAAAACAAAAGTACCCTCACGTACCGTACGTACGTGATTTACTATAATGTCAACTGTCAAAATGGTGTTTTAAGCGTCATTTTGACCCATTATTTTTTGATTAACTGATGAAGAGCTATTGTATCACAGAGCCATCTATGCAAACAAGGCTGTAGTTATTGAGTTATAAGAAAGTGACCATATTAACTGGATGACCATATTATCCTCACGTACTATATAACATAACAGCAGCACTCTACCACGTCTGAAATTCAACAAATTCTAAGATTACACCAATCATCTGAAGAGGAAAGGCTCATGTCTAGCAGTTTTATTTTTTTCGGGCCGAAGAAATAGAAAAAGAAATGTATCATCAGCATGCATCTTCTCCTACTTGACCCGTTAAAACTTTACGATGATCATTATATTTTTGTTCACAGAGCCTGGGTACTACGAGGTTGGAGAGTACGGCATTCGACACGAGGATCTCGTGGAAGTTATTGAAATGAACAAAAACGCCGATCATATTTTCGTTAGTTTTTCATTTACTTATAAAAATGCTTGCTGCAATACCTGTCCTGCCCAATATTGGGCAACAACAAATGATAGATTAATTAGTATTGGTTATGAAAATCTTGAAAAAAGAACTATAACGCAGTGCGATCCACAACTTTTTCGCAAATTTTTTTGGTCAAATATGAGTCTGTGACAGATGACTACATATTTGTGCCATTTGCTGTAGAGACTATCGGTCCATGGGATCCACGTGTGGTGAAGTTTCTAAAGGAACTCTATCAGCGACTGGTCGTCGTTGCCGGTGGTAAGAGGACTGGTTCTTTTCTCGCTCAAAGGGTCAGTATAGCCATTCAGCGAAGAAACGCAATCAGCACGATACCACGGAAGTATGATAATTAAGTTATTAGTTTTAGTTTTTTTTTATTATAGTTTTTTAATATTGTAGCTATATATTACTAATATTTCATAAGGAAACATTAACATTTATGAAAAACATTAATATTTTTTTTAATAATTTAACTTATTCTAAAGTAACAAGAAAAGAATTAGAACGACTTCGCGTCTCCTGATTCAGCCGTATGATACAGTCGATAATTTAAAATTAATAATTTTGTACATCCGACTTCAATATAAATTATTAAGAATAACTCAAAAACTATTGGCCAGATCTTGATCAAATTTATGTGGGACCACATGTGAAACATCAGCTTGCAAATAAAAAAAATCATCGAAATCTGTCCATTCAGTAAAAAGTTATGAGTCTCCTTTTTGAAGCCAGTAGAAAATGTTAAAATATGATGAAAAGTTAAGAAGAAATGTAATTCAACCTAAAGGCTATGGAAATTTATCATCCATCCATCACCTGTCGTCCCATGTGTGTCATAAGAGGTAATTAATATAAAATAAAATTTCTACGTGGTAGAGTCAAGCTGCAGCTATATATGGTTGTAGCACGAATGGGTCGGCTCGACCGGGGAAGGACCACGCTCTCACAAAAAACCAGCGTAAAATAGCAGCTTAACGCTGCTGTGTTTCGTATGGTGAGTGTAGAGAACCGGAGACCCTTTTTACTGGCAAAGAAGCATTCCATCTTAGTCCTCACGGGTGACTACGCATCTGCATCTTGAGTCTTTATTGAGGATAGATGTAGATGTCTATGCGTCACAGTAACCACTTACCATCAGGTGGACTGTGTGCTCGTTTGTCACCCGATCCTATATAAAAAAATATATAATTATATGAGGAAATGCCAAAAAATTCTTATGGCTTCCGAGTTCCGCTAGATGTCGCTACTATCACCTCACTTACGCGCCAGACTTAAAATATCCATACTGACATCGGGCATCATCGTCAAAGGTGTTCACGTCTGGTGTTACGATCGTCAACCCAACTGCCAAGCGTGAAGATTACTGCAGTTCCTTCCTACAACGGGAGAGGCCCGTGTGGCATGTGGCCAACATTGCACTATTACGGACTGTTAAAGAAGAACAATTTATTATCTTATAAATGACTAGCTGGTAGATGTGCGCGCACACGCACCAACCTTCTAAAGGAGGCCCCACAGACCGGAGTGCTGCACACTCGGAATAAAGTAGCTCAGGATGTACATTTATTCTGCTGTTCCTTGGGTGAATTCACAAAAGTCACATTATAATATGTATTATGTTATAATAGTAGATAAGTTGTATTCTTTCCTTATTAAATTAGATAGTTTTATGTGCCTACAGTGTCGTATTAAGCCGCGTCTCCACCAAAGTTTTGTTACCAACTTTTGTATTGTCAACACGTGTTGGTAACAAATGTTTCTGTAATCACCTAGTGTGGGCAACAAAACTTGAAACAATGTCGGGAACCGTGTTTCCATTTTCGGCGGCAACATCAGAGGAATACGCTTGTTGCAAACATTTGTTTCTTCGGTGGAGACGCTTGTTGGAAACATTTGTCGGCAACATCGGAAACAAATGTTGGTAACTTTTGTTGAGTTGTAAACAGTTGGAAGCATAAATGTTGTCAACATTTTTGGTGGATACGCGGCTTTAGTTACGTTTGTAAAGACAGAGGTAGAAATAAATAAATAAATAAATGTCTGTAAAACCGATAACGGTAACGCCATCGGTACCGGTAACGCTCTTATCTCTTTCCCAGGCTGAGGGTATGGTGGGGGACTTTAACGGCGTGGGCGCGGTCGGTTTTTACACAATTACTCTAGCACCGCATCAAACTGCTTGTTTGGATGTCAGCATACTGGATGATCACGAGGTATCTTTCTTATACACGTTGGTGAAAAAATTGAAATAGAATTTTTTTAATCGATATCTCTATAATATATTATAATACTAGCTGTTCGCCCGCGCGTAATTTATTACGATTGGATTTCATGGGTTTTAATTTTTTACGCGGAACCCTAATTCTCTTTCTAAAATAAAAGTAGCTAAGTTACTTCTTATAACATCAGCTATCTGTCAGTGAAAGTTCGGTCAAACTCGGTCTAGTCGTTTCGGAGATTAGCCGGAACAAACAGACAGACAGACAAACGGACAGAAAGACAGACAGACAAAAATGTTAAAAATCGTGTTTTTGTTATAAGTACCGTATATACTTTCATATACATATAGTAAAAATCTGTTATTTTGACATTACAAACATACACTTCAATTTTATTTATCTTTATAGATATCAATTGCTGTCCGTCACAAAAAACTCAATAACGGCTCGACCGATTTTTTAATATTCTTTTAATAATTCTTTGTGTGTGTTTGCATGGGTCCCTGGATGGTTTAGATCTTCGATTCACATTTGAACCCGGTAGGTGGCGCTATCATCGAGAACCAGAAATCACTCGTGCGATCCGTCTCGGATTCGGGACGGATCGCTCGTAAAGTATAAATAAATTAAATAATACTTTGAGAAGTAATGCTTTGAAAACAGCCACGTAGTAATCTGATGGAAAATTAGACTAAAGGAGAATGAGATTTTTGAGCCTGGAGTTAACTAAATGTTTTATACTTTAAACAATTGGCCATATTTTTATAAAGTAAAATACAAAAAGGTACCTCTTTTTACAATCTAGAATTCGAAAAAACAATAAAATAAGAAATAAGTTAGAAAATCGATTGTAGTGTATTATTTATGGCAATAAATCGATTACCATAAAGAATACACTAGTGAAATCCTCGTTTCTGAACGTTATCTTCCAATAAAGGACTTCTTATTTTGAAACTTGATAGTTCAAACTTCAAACTATTTACTTAAAATAAAAATACAGATTTTCGATTCGATTTGAAACGAGCGCAATATAATCTATTCTCGATTAAATTGAGCATTTTAATATCTATTTTCAATTATTTTTTTGTGTTAAAAAATAATTGCATACATATCTACAAAATAATAGTAATAAAAAATACAAAATATTAACATTTCAACAAGTAACAGTTACAACAACAATTCAAGTAATCGATCTCAGATCGATATCCCTAATATTCACTTCACGTAGTTGTTTTAACTTTCGTTAATCGTTTCACCATTTCGATTCATTATTATAACCACAGCTTTTTTGGTGATTTGATACTGATCCTGCTTTTATATCTTTAAGTAATTATAGCGAAAATTAGCCTGTTACAGTGTAATAACAGTGAAAAATCACCTGTTATAGTGTAGGTAATAGATAATCTCACTTTTACTTATTCTACAATAACTCAGCACCTAGATGGACAAATCTTGCCAGATTTTCAGCTATGAATTGTTTATACGCTTTCAAATGGTCCTACTTTCATCTTGTTAACACTTGGGCCCAAGAATGTATGGAGACGTCTCCTTCTCCTTTCCTTAGTCTAACTTTCTATATTTAGTCTATATTTAGACGATCAAAAACCTTGAAATAAACCTAAACCGAATAAAATACTTTACATTGAATATGTTTCCAGATCAAATACCTTAACGACTATCACGCTCGAGTTCTAGCGACCCTAGGACCCATTCTGCTAGAAAGAAATTTAACGGAAGATTACAAATTTCTGGAGAAGGAATGCGCGCCAATTCACCGCAGTGCCGCCATTTTTGTTAAATCGACGCCATTATTGGCATTAATGAGTGTTTTAAGTCTATGGTTAACAACGTTTAATCTATGCTGTTAATCATATGATTTCCAAGAATTTTTTTTTATATATGTAAATTGTTTTTTTATAGATGATGTGACTTCAATTTATTATTAAAGTGAACTGACAAACTAATATGCAGTCCACCTGATGGTAAGCAGCTACTGTAGACCATACCAAACACCAACGGGCTAACAGTGCATCTTGTTATAATTGCATTTTACAGCCCGTGGAGCAATTTTAAACTATCTATGAATTTCGTTATCACTCCTGAGGACTAAGGTTGAATGTCTTTCAGGCTATAATAACACTGTCTCTGTTACCCTTAAAACCGGAACATGGCAGTGTGTGTACTGTTGCTTGATGATAGATATAAGCAAATGCGTAAAACTGACCGGACTCCTACAGACACGGAAAATTTTAGTCTTATCTAATGTAATATTTTTGTACATTTCCTAAAATAATGTAATATAATAAAATAATTATTTAAATTGACTGTAGAGTTATAATTATCATCCTAAATAATGCAATGATATAAAACCCGTTGGGCACTATCCTTCTCAACTTTCTTATTTTTCGCTTTCAGACTTCACAACTTTCTAGATATTATAGTTTCTTTATGATGAATTTCTTCATCACTGAGCATGTAGTATATCAGAACTTGAAATTATCAGTAACAAATTCATTGGTGTTGGCCGAAATCGGACCCGGATTGCGCATGTACTGTGAAATTTAAACGCGGACGCGATTGTCCCCTGAGTTTTACTGGAAATGAGGCATTCCGTCTTAGTCCTCACGGGTGACAACGCATCTACATTTTGATTTGTAATAAAGGATAGATGTAGATGTCTATGGGCCGCAGCAACCACTTACCATCAGGTGAACTGTGTGCTCGTTTGTCACCCTTATCCTATAAAAAAAAAAGTTACTACGTATCTTTATTCTCTGAGCTATCACGACACTGATTTTTTTTTTGTTAATGTATGTGTAAGGTAGGCCTACCAATATCCAAATTCAGAGCTCTCAATTAGCGAAAATACAACCAATTCATTGTTATAGTTTATAGGAAACAAACGAGCACACAGTCTTCACTTTTTGATAAGTTCAGGCTGTAGCCCATAGACAAGTACATTTATCCTCAATCAAAAGAATCAAAATGCTGTTGCGTTGTCACTTCTGAGGACTAAGATGAAATGCCTTGTTTAAAGTAAAAAGGGTCTCCGGTTCTTTACACTCAACATACGAAATACAGGAGCTAAGCTGCTATTTTACGCTGGTATTCTGTAAGAGTGTGGTCCTTTCCCGATCAAACCGATGCATACGTGCTACAACCCTGCAGCGTGACTCTACCGCGTGTGTACATATTAATTACATTAAAGTGTAATTGATTTACTTCCAAAAAGTTGTAAGATATACATAGTAGCGTCTATCAGGTTCGAAAACTGTCTATAACGATATTCAGAGGATCGGACATTTTATGATTATGACGTTATAAAGAGTTTTCGTTAAAAGGAATGAGTTACCGTTATAGCCTATTAAAGTCCATAGATTACCTCAAAGGGAGGATATTTGCCATAGTTGCCACGCTTGAGAAGCGGGTTGGCAAGTGCAGTTTTTTATTTTTAGTCTTAAATTTAGAAAGACGCTGCTGCCCATCTTGATGATTTGTTCTTTTTTTTTATAGGATAAGGGTGACAAACGAGCACTCAATCCACCTGTTGGTAAGTGGTTGCTGTGGACCATAGACATCTTCATCTATATTCGATTACGAATGAAAATGCAGATGCGTTGTCACCGTGAGGACTAAGATGGAATCCAGTAAAAAGGGTCTCCGGTTCTCAACACTCACCATACTACGAATACGAATACGAATACAATACGAAACACAGCAGCGTCAAGCTGCTATTTTACGTTGGTATTCTGTGAGAGCGTGGTCTTTCCCCGGTCGAGCCGATCCATTCGTGCTACAACCATAATATAGCTGCAGCATGGCTCTCCCACGTATAGTACTCTCTGTCGCCTCTTACAACAATCACGGGATGATCATTTTATTCCTACACAATCACTATACGGTAAAAGGAATGAGTAGAAAATAACAATCAAATATAAACAAAATATTTTTATTACAAAAAGTTAAGGCTTAATATTAATAAATAATATAGAATATTAGATGACATAATACTCCGTTATTTTCCTTTACATCTTTTTCCAGTGCCAATATTTAGATTGCACTGTGCTACGTATTTTTGACATACATACAAAAGTTCTAGGATCATCTTCATGACATGATGTCATCTTATTCCGATTCCGATTCCTGACATGCATCGATGCCTGCAAAACCGGACAAACCAGCATGGCGAAAATAATGCTGTATGTTTGCTGCTGTCACCTCGTCCAAGGCTGTGCTCTGGAAGTTCAACGCGTCCAGCATATTAATGGAGAGCTTACCATCAGATTCAATAACAACATGTTTTCTATTGCACAGCTAGTCATGTTTACCAAATGGATTTCAGGTCCAAACTAACCGATATGGTAAAACATAATTCGGCCTCTGCTAACATTATATTGAATGCTAGGCTAAATAAATAGGTAGAAAAAATAACTATATTAAACAATAGAAGTGCACGTGTTCGTTAAGTCCCTGGAATGTTCTATAACATCTGAGAATACTGAGGCTATTAGTACTAACATATGGCTTACTATAGTAAAAGTTGTTTTGTGTTTAAATAATGGCCTGGTAGTCGCTAAAGAGAGTGTGATCTTCGTTATAGCGACTGATTAAATGTGTAGGATTGTAGAAAAATCAACCAAATTTAACTAATATTAACTTAATAGAGTGTTTCGTTACATAGAGTTTCGTTAAAGAGAAATTTTTCTTTACACATGACATGTGAAGTCCGCACGCACTTGAGCATCGTGGTGGACTTATTGCTCTACAACCCTTTCAGTAACGAGGAGAGCCCTGTGCCCAACTGTGGGGCATATATAGGTTGTAACTTTAGCTTGCTTTTATTACTCTCTACACTATTCGCGAGGGTTTTTCTCCTGTCTATCATAGGCCTCTAAAATTATGTTATTCAAACGTTACTAAAAGTGTTCACACAAGCTAGTAGCTCCAGTTCGTGTATAAGTGATATTCATTCTGTAAATACTAGGAACAGACACAAGCTAGTAGTTCCAGTTACTCGATTCCACCGAGTCAGTAATTCAATCTTGGGCACTTTTATAACAAAATCCCATAAATATATTAAATTTGATCTGCTCAAAGTTCAAAAAGGGAAACGAACAAAACCTAGTCTCGTATATACTAAAACAATCTGTATATAAATTAAATGAGTGCAATTTAATATCATGGTAATGACTTTTTTTTATTACAATATTCATCATTATCCAGAATTCTAATTCTCTTTAACATTAACTACTAATCGGTTCTTGGTAGTCGGTCTGTTCTCGGTAATTGGTTTTTGGTAGGGTTAGCAAAGTTTTTTTTTATATCAAATGTAATATTTTTGAGGCGATTACTTTTAAAATTATAGAACATAGCATTCATTTATTGAAGAACATAGGACTTCGACTAATTGCTTCTTAAGGGGGATATTTCCCATAGGTACCACGCTTGGCAAGAGGATTGGCAAACGCAGTTTTTTATTTTCATTATTAAGGAGATTTAAAAAAACATGTGTGCAGTTCACAAGCGGTAGAAGTGAAAATTTGTATACTGAGTTACATACAAGCCTACCCATATCTCATTCTCTCACAGGCTAAATCCTAAAGACGTATAATCTCTTTGATGATGTAACTCTTTTTGTCGTCTCATCGAGTTTCAAATCACGACGATTCTAAAGATGTTTCCTGTTCAAAAGTCAGTGTAAGGGCACAAACAAATTCTTAATTTTTTTTTAATATCTATTAAGATGAATATTATTTTAATTTAAAAAAATTCTGTCAATTTCTAAAATGTTTAATAAGCTGTATAGTCATTCGGTAGAACCTACTAGTTAGTCTGTGGTATAGTCTTTTTGGCCTGACGTTTTTTGCCAAGCCAATACTTGGTTTTTATTTTTTTATAAATTGTATCCATGTATTTCGATGCGGTGGTATCATCTTCAGAAAATAATAAAAACTCACCTAGCAATTTAGTTGCGTCAATTGCTTGTTCAATACTTGGATTTTCTTCTTTTATCACAGATTTAAGAACTTGTTCATGTGTTACTTCATCGCTTATTATTAAGCCCATATCCCCATTTAACGCATCTCCATTAGTTTTAATTTGGTTAATTTTGTGACGCTGTTTAAATTTTCAAAGCCATCCTTCGGAAGCCTTAAAGTTAGTAATCTCAAGTTGTGAAGCAAATTTCTCAGTCTGAGTTTTAATATATGGCCCAGAAATAGCCACATTGTTTTGGCAAAAAAAAACACTGCTTGATCTAAATCTTCAAATTTTGGTTTTCTTAATTTCATAGAAGATTTTCCGTTTCTTTCTGCCTGAAGTATTTTTTCTTTATTTTTGCAAATGGTTGCCACAGTAGATGGCCTGAACCCAAAACGCTTTCCAACGTCACTTTTTTATCGCCTTTTTCTATTGCACGGATCACAGAGACCTTCTCGTCAACGCACAACGATTTTCTTTTGCTAGCCATGCTTACAACTCGAAAGTAAAAGTGCAACTGACAGTATAAAAGTAAATTGGTAAATCATAGCAATGCATTTTTTTACCTACCCAAAAGTAAGGAAAACAACAAACGACAAGAAAATAAGCTGTGTCTCGCCAGAAACGCAAAGTCAGGAATTTGCATTTAGAAAAACCAAAAATTAGGGGATTTTAGGTGCTAATTAGGCGCCAAGTTTAAAAATTAGGTGCTCTAAAATTTTCACCGCAACGAACTGTTGAAATTTGCGTTGCTAACGTATCGGTAGCAACGCAGTGATGATAATAGGTATACGATAAATATTAATAGCAAGGAATTAAGTACTAATTAAGTGGTGAAAGATTATTGAGGTCGGATGTAGGTGACAGTAATATTCTGGGAATTATCGGG